GTCGAGGATGTGTTTAACTGCAGAGTGTAAGTACCATTAGGCGTTGATCTAGATTAAATAATCTCTTTCAATACGTTTCCGCTAACATGCACACAAGAAAAACTGTCAATGTCAGGTGTTTATAAAACTCACGGTTTCTTCAGTAACAAGTCTTTGCAAGATGACGGAACTACTTCGCATTGTTTTGAAACTAAATGTATCAGAATGAAAACTGGTTATGATGCTGCTCGGCAAAATATCCTTATAGAAATTATGTTAGAAACTTCATCATATGCACTTTAATTTACCTGAGGAATAAACCTCATTTGGCTCTTTGCACGTCTGGAAGAAAACATCAATGAATTAGATAGTTCAGTATTATTGTTCGTTATTAATACACGTATTGATTGGATGCAAAACAAGGCACACTACATAACGCAAGAATTGTTTCTATTCAAAATCATCGGCTCATCGCTGCTGTTTTCTTCGAAATTTCTTTTCTTTGGTTCATCGAAACGGAAAATATTCCAGCTGCTGATATTTATGAACTGGTTTCTATTCTACATTTCAACTCTCTTTGCTCATAGAGGTACGTTTTAGTTATGATGCACTATCGCTGTAGTTTCAGCGTTTTGTAATTATTTAAATTGTTCAAATACCCACCCTGTTCCTTAAAGGATTTGTCAGTTCGTAGTAATCGAAGTCTTTGTGACGATGAAAATCTGCTGCAGGCAACTCTGATGCAATATCGTAAAGGAATTCACAATTGTTTTCCGAATTTGAGCGTTTTTGGAAATTCGTAGATCTGCAGGCTTTATTGTCACGTGCACAAAAGTAAATGCATTCTCCTCCCGTTCCTGCGTGGACTCTTTCTATCATCACTTCGCTGTTCAAATGACGACCTTTGAGTAGTGAAAAATTGGAGGTAAACAATTTGAAGCAAGTGCAAGATTGTAACTTTCTTAATTGAAACTTTTCAAACCACAAGCAGAAGCAATAAAAACATTGTAAAATATTAATTAACTGCGGCGTCTTGTGTGGGTCTTTGTGCTTCGCAAGGAAAAACTAGAAATATATTCTTGTAGAATAGCAATCTCCTCCCCTATTTGAACAAAGTAACGGGTATGTCTAAAACTAAACGGTTATTTTAGAATTGCGGTTTAGTTCACCTATGTTTTGTGACACGAATATTTCAGTATTTGTTAAGAAAGCGAAACATTTGTAAACTATTAATTTATTGACTTCGCAATCAAAAGTAAAGTAAGTAACTTTATCAAGTACAACTTTAGCTTGCAAATTCAGCCATAAAGAAACTAACGACATTTGAGGGCAAGGTGTGCTTCCGCGCAGCGATTCTCGTTCTGGTATACTTGCTTTATGGACATTATTAGCATTCGCAGATATAATTCCATTGCTGACAATGTGAAGCAAAAATTAAACGTATTTTTCAAGACGTACCTTCATTTGGTCCTTGAAAGCAAAAGTCTTTGCAAGATGAAACTAAATTCCGTAGAAAAAACAAAGGTTGTATACCGCTTACAATCGGCTAAAACTACCAGTGAAAACGCATTATATACACTCTTATGCTTACTTGGGGAATATACGTTACCAGGCTCCTTGTTCAACTAAAAAAGAGAATACCAAAGCAAAATATTGATTAACATCAACTGTATACAAAACGAAGTTGGATATAAAATTTTGGACACAGTGTAATATCATGAAAATTTTCAGCTGATGCATGTGAGGGAAACATTTGTACATTTCTAAGTCAGCTGCATTTCTAAATAACGTGTTAACTTACTGGTTTAATTACGACAAGATTGTTGAACTCAGGGTTGCTTGTTTCATCGTCATCGTTTATGTCTTGATGTGTCTTATTGTTGAGCTCACAGCGACCTTTACCGATACCAGATGTTTTGTAATTGATTGAGGCACACGATTCATATCGAGCGCAGAGCAAACCACATTCAAACTCGAACTCTGCTTGTTTCGTTTCGATGACATGATTCGCCAAGTATTTTTGCTTGCTTTTTTGAAAGATGACTTGCTTTGGGTATTCGTCTAGCGCGAAAAGGAGAAATTTAGGTTACTACTTATCAGTTCTTTACGATATGGATATGTTGAATTGAATAATTTAATCTTTAAGCGCCTGATCTTATCACTCGCAGACAGTCGACGATCTCTATTCTCGTTTGTTGCCGATGCATAATTCTTTGTCCGTAGAAACAGAAGAATGGTACGTTTGCACCCAACGGTTTGTGTTTTGCTTTTCGCTTGAGGGATAAACTTTATTAAGACAAACTGCGTGTGAAAGCAAACGTTTCACGTATTTTTCAACACGTACCTTCATTTGGTCCAAAATCAAGACCATATCCAAAAGGTTGAAGATTAAAGAATATCAGCAACAAAGGGATAACTTTGAAAAATACAAACAGCAAACGTCTCGGTTGCATAATCAATTCCATATTCACTGGATGTTTTTGTTCGGAACAACCGAACAAGAGATATGTTTGTCGTCAGTTGAAACTCAATGGTTTTTTATTCCTTTCAAATTTTTATCGACCGAAACAATTCAATTCCAATAGAAAGGATACGGCCGGGTCTGCCTCAATGACAATACGACGAACGCAGTCTTGTTAATGGCATGTATACATCTGTGCTAATAAGTTTAATAGGTGACACACAATGTTTTTTTAAAATATCATTATACTAACATATGGCACATCGGTGAAAACAAACACACGTATTCATCTGAATTTTGTCTTTCATCAAGTTTCTTCAGTTATGAATATACCCAGTGTCAATTATGATTCATGTTATCTCGTTATATAGTGGTAACAAGCGACTAACTAGAACTTGTTTTTACACTTGCATGGGCTGGCGATTTATTCTTTCGATAGATGTGATCGAGCGGATAAGTTACGGATATTCAGGAAAGGGAACTTATTACAGACAGTATTCATAGCGTTCCACTCGTTTGCATCTGTCATGATGAAATTTGCAAAAAATAGCCGGCCTTTTAATTTCTTTGGTCGTAAACGGTATGTTAGTCTTCGTCTTCAAGTAAGCCAAACTCAATCTCAAATTTTATGTTAGTGCACCTGTGAGAAGCCGCTTTCAACTCGTCAATTATTTAGCAAGCCTGACTAACTTGGCTTGCTAATTTTAAAGTGCTCATTCTGAATTTGTTTACAAAACTCAGAACCTACATATTTTACCAGTTTGTACAATACACACAACCTAGCTGCATGCTTACAATTACAGTTATCAAGTGTATGAAAACATAGTTTATGCCTAAAATAAACACAGTATTTATGAAGCCGTTCTCTGTATCTGATGTTACCGTTAAAAGTTTAAAAATTATTCCGAATGGGTGATAGTCACTGCACGAATATGTATCCAAATGCTGGAGTGTGTTTACCACCACAGTTTACATGATTACCACAGGCGGGATAAACGTCTTGACACCCAATATACCTTACACCAAAACCAATCCCGGAGTCAGGGCTGTCACAATCGTTTTCGTTGTTAGCAAGGAGTGCAAGCCTCGCTTTAATAGTGACCGCACCATCATTCCAAGTTCTCTTTAAATTAAAACCCTGAAGGTTGCAATTTGGTAGCAAGTAAGAGCCCGCGATCAAAGACTTCCAATTATTTCTCTCAGCGGCTGTGTTTCGATATTGTCCGTCTGCGATCAAACTGTACAGCGAACTGGCTTCATAATTCAACATCATCCATCTTCTGTCGCCATTGACCGTCATACCAAGACATAGTTTCTTAAAAGGAGTGTTCCAATAAGAGGCCAGTTTACTTTCTTTCTCTGTTAGTCCTTCAAGTCCATCTTCAACTGCATAACTTTCATTGTTTGTCCACAAAGATGCATCATAGTAGAATGTTTGCTAAAAAATAATCATTATTTGTTTGAATTGTCGTAAATTATATTTTTGTGTGCAGCAAGACGAGTGGTGAAATGTAAACATTCAACAGAATGAGCAAAATTTGTAACTTTGATACAGCTCAGAAAACTAGACGAAGCTGTTCAATTGCACTTAATCTGATTGATTGCTGATTGGTGCAATGAAATCTTGCCTTATTTCCGTCCACTTTCAACACTAGTGTCCAGCCTCCAGCTCCACAACCTGGAATATCTGTCATGTGACAATATGCCTTGTATGGTGTCGAGGATGTGTTTGACTGCAGAGTGTAAGCACCATTAGGCGTTGATCTAGATTAAATAATCTCTTTCAATTCGTTTCCACTATTATGCACACAGAGAAAAAAAGTCAATGTCAGGTGTATATAAAACTCACGGTTTCTTGAGTAACAAGTTTTTGCAAGATGACGGAACTACTTCACGTTCTCTCAAAACTAAATTCCATAGAAAAAAGCAAAGGTTATATGCCGCTTAAAATCGGCTAAAACTACCAATAGAAATATATATAGTGAAAACGCATTATATGCATTATACTTACTTGGGGAATATACCTGACCAGGCTCCTGGCTCAACTGAAAGAGAGAATACCAAAAGAAAAGATTGTTTATTATCAACTGTGTTTAAAACCAAGTCCAAAATTCATAATTGAAATCACCTATTGTTTAAATTGGCGTAACTTGTTTGCAAATTTTTGCCCGTGAGGATTAACGCAACTGACAATATGCTAAACACAAAACTAAACTTAAAATTTGCCAGAGAAGACGGAAATTTCTAAGGTCATGGTGCTTGTGTTGTAAACTTAAATTTGTTATCCATATTAAATATTGGTAATAAAATTTATTTAGGGGAACAAACAAATTTTATTTTTTGCATAAAAATGCTTATGTGAAACCACGACACACTTGTGGGTCCCAACAGGTTGCTGAGGCATGCAAAAATCCAATTATTATATTCATTTGTTAGGGGTGAATTCAATGGTTTTGATTTTTGTCTTAGAACACAGTGTATATCATGAAAATTTCAGCTGATGTGAGGGAAATACTTGTACATTTCTAACTCAAATGCATTACTAAATGTGTTAACTTACTGGTTTAATTATGACAAGATGGTTGAACTCAGAGTTGCTTGTTTCGTCGTCATCAGTTATGTCTTGATGCGTCTTATTGTTGAGCTCACAGCGACCTTTACCAATACCAGATGTTTTGTAATTGATTGAGGCACACGATTCATATCGAGCGCAGAGCAAACCACATTCAAACTCAAACTCTGCTTGTTTTGTTTCCATGACATGATTCGCCAAGTATTTTTGCTCATATTTTCGAAACACGACTTGCTTTGGGTATTGGTCTTGAGAGAAAAGGAGAAATTTTGAAATATTTAGTGGCTAAAAATTGTTAGAAATCTTGTTTCAACTTTTTAAGAAAGCTTGGAATAAGAAATTTGAATACAACTTGTTGACATCTCGTGATAGAACTGGCAATCTTTTTGCAGACTTGGCATAAGTCAAATGCATGGTTTTCAACCCGTTCAAACGTTTTGAAAATTACTCAACGATACTACATTTTGATCGAAAAATATCCCCCATACGTAACTTCCGAAATTTCCTTTCGGAATCCAATTTATTTGTAGCAGAAAATTCGCATAACTTAAGCAGGTAGCAAGGTGCGTCTCCAGGCAACGGTTTGTGTTTTGCTTTTCGCTTGAGGGAAAAACTAAAAGACAAACTGCGTGTGAAAGCAAAAGTTACACATATTTTTCAACACGTACCTTCATTTGGTCCAAGATCAAGACCATATCCAAAAATTTGAAGATTAAAGAATATCAGCAACAAAGGGATGACTTTGCAAAATACACACAGCATAGATCTTGGACTCGGTTGCATAATCAATGCTATATTCCCTGGCTGTTTTTCTTGGTCAGGCGACATGTTTGCCGTCAGTCGAAACTCTTTATCCTGAATAAAACTCAGCAGTTTCTTGTCCCCTTAAAATTTTATTCACAACTGATTCAACACGGAAAGACTTTTTGGGGCACTTGTTTGGGTCGGCTTGTCTGAGAACATATGAACGCAGTCTCGTTAATGGGATATATTCGACCGTGCTAGAAAGTTAAATACGCCACGTTTGTTTTTTTCAAATTATCACCACGAACATATGACGTCAAAACACACGTATTCATATATAACATGACGAAATGAGAAGTGAGAACTGCGTGGTTCGCCATAGACAAACGCCAGAGTTGAAAACGTGCAAAAAATCAACGAATTAAAACAAGTGATTCTGCAGTGCAATCTTGTATCACTGAATTCTCTACTGAATTTAAGCGGGGCTCAACTTAATAAAACAAGAACATAACGAAGCTAATAATATCACAATTATACAAAAAAAGAAAACGAAAACGAACAAATGAAAATATACATCGGGAACTTTTATATCGCAATTTGAGGAAACAGCAAGAATTATTTTATCTTACATCTGGCTTCTTCAGTTATGAAAAACTCGATGTAATTTTCAATTTTCGGGCTTCATTTTGTCTGATGGGTAAACAATGAAAACAAATGCAAGTTTTATTCTAATATCAATATTCGTTTCCTAATAGAAATTAATTGTTTTCACTGTCGATAAGCACTTAAATATTAGCATAGCAAGACTCAATCGTCAGGCTCGCCTCACCATTATAGCTCATTATAGACGTTTGTTATAAACAGTTTGCATAAAAGCACATAGAGAAAAAATAATTCGCGCCACGGCAAACTTCGATCTGCTTTGTGCTTTAAAGTGAAAAGCAGATGTTTCTCCCAAAGAAATTTCTCGATTAAACAACTTTTTACTCGAGTTCCCTTTCAATATTGAGCAACACAAATTTCCTGAGAAAATAACACTGCGCCCGAAAAGCATCTCTATAAATAGAAACTTGCATTAGAAATTTGCATTACTACTGTGTACGTGCAAATACAAATTTACATGACGTAGCTATAAACGAAATACAAATTTACATGACGTATATGTAATACGTATTATAAAGCTTTTAGCTTTGTCTATAGGTTCAAAGGTTGTACAATAAGCGTAATAAATTTTATACAATAAGCTTAATAAGGTTATACAATAAGCTTAATAATAATAAATTTCTTAAAGTTATCAAACACAAACTCCTATTTTTGAGAACATTTTTCAATGCCTGAAATTAACATACTAAACATTTATTAAGCCTTTGTATACCAATCTAATGTTCGCTGTTTAATGCATTATTTGCAAGGATGAGTTATTTTCACTGCACCAATATGTATCCAAATGCTGGAATATTTGTTGTAATGACTGGGTTACCACACACTGCACGATTACCACAGGCGAGATCCACTCTTCCACAAGCAGTGTATCTTACACCCCCAACCCAATCCAAGAGTGAGCCGGGTTTCCGACATTGGTATTCATTGTTTGGAATGAATCCAAGCTGCGCATGAATAGTGTGATAATCTCTTTGTACATTCTCTACAATGAAAGCCTGAATGTTGCAATTTTTTTCAATATAGAGCCTGCGGTCAAGGACATCCATGTATTTGTTTAAGCCCTTGTATTTCGAAACTGCCTGTCTGCGATCAAACATAGAGCTCATAGAGATCACAGAGACTCGTTTTAGTTACGATGCAATATCGCTATGGTTTCAGCGTTTTGTAATTATTTAAATTGTTCAAATACTCATGAATATGAAATAAATAATATACAAGTATGGTTTCTATATATGTCATCGTTTTTTTTCAAAACTTCCCATTTCCCCCAATTTGAAACACTTTCTTTCGATCCATTACTTAATTTCAACTAACTGGCTTTTATCATAGCTAGGACAGCTGATAGTTATGAAATGGTTTGTAAATATTTCAACATTCTCTGTCCATAAATGCACATTTAATTAGTTATAATGCAATATTGCTATGCCTATGGTTTCAGCGTTTGTAATTATTTAAAATAGTTGACATTTCATATAACTTACCCTATTCCTATAAGGATTTGTCAGTTCGTAGTAATCGAAGTCTTTGTCACGTTGAAAATCTGTTGCAGACAACTCTGATGCAATATCGTAAAGGAATTCACAATTTGTCTCCGAATCTGAGCATTTCTTGAAATTGGTAGATCTGCACGCTTTATTGTCACGTGCACAAAAGTAAATGCATTCTTCTCCCGTTCCTGCGTGGACTTTTTCTATCACTTCGCTGTTCAAACGACGACCTTTGAGTAGTGAAAATTAGGAGGTAAACATTACGAAGCAAGTGTAAAATTGTAAATTTTCCTAAGTTGTAAATTTTTCGAAGCACAAGCATTAATAACGTTGTTAAATATTAATTAAAAGCGTCTTGTGTGGGTCTCTGTGCTTCGCAAGTGGAAAACTAGGAATTGGACGAAGTAAAATGTATTTCTAAAAGTAAAAAGTCGTTGTGAAGTTGAAGTTTAGTTCACCTATAATTATGCGAAACGAATATTTCAGCTTTTGTTAATAAAGTTTTTGTTAATAAAGTTTCTTGTTGATAAAGTTTTTGAAATAGAGAAACATTTGTACTCGAAACTATTAATTTATTGACTTCGCAGTCTGTAGTAGGATACTTTGCCTACATATGAATTAAGGCAGTGTTCAAATATTGATATTCGTTTCCTTTTTAGAAATTGATTGTTTTCACTGTCGATAAGCACTTAAATATTAGCATAGCAAGACTCAATCGTCAGGCTGGCGTCGCCATTATTGACGTTTGTTATAAACTGTTTGCATAACTGAAGAACACTGAAAAAAATAATTCGCGCCACGGCAAAGTTCTGCTTAGTGAAAAGAATTTCTTTCACCAGGAGAAATTTCTCGATAAAACAATTTTTTACTCGATGTTCCTTTCAACATTGATCGACACAAATTCCGCTCCGCGCAAAAAATATCGCTATAGATGAAAATTTTTATTGCATCACTACTTTATATGTGCAAATACTAATTTACATGACGTATATATATAATACATATTATCGAGCTTTTAGCTTTGTCTATAGGTTCAAAGGTTATATACAATAAGCTAAGGTGCAAGCGTGCAATCAAATGTTATTTCTTAAAGTTTTCAAACACAAACTACTATTTTCATTTGCAGTGGTTAAGTTCTTCTCACTGCAACAATATGTATCCAAAGGCTGGAATATTTTTGACTGCTTCAACAACACACACTGCACGATTACCACAGGCGAAATCGACTGTTTCACAAGCAGCGTATTTTACACCAAAACCAATCCAAGAGTCAGGGCTGTCGCAGTGGCCTTCGTTGTTAGCAATGAATCCAAGCCGCGCGTGAATGGTGTAAGCATCTTCTCCTGGGACATCGTGTACATTGAAACCCTGAATGTTGCAATTTTGTTGCAAGACAGAGCCTGCGATCAAAGACATCCATGTATTTTTCTTAGCCCTTGTGTTTCGATATTGTCCGTCTGCGATCAAACTGTACAGCGAACTGGCTTCATAATTCAATATCATCCATCTTCTGTCGCCATTAACGGTCATACCAAGACATATTTTCTTAAAAGGAGTGTTCCAATAAGAGGCCAGTTTACTTTCTTTCTCTGTTAGTCCTTCAAGTCCATCTTCAACTGCATAACTTTCATTGTTCGTCCACAAAGATGCATCATAGTGGAATGTAGGCTAAGAAAATTGTAATCAGTCATTATATTTTGTGTGCAGCAAGGCGAGTAGAATAACTTCATTTAACAGCATGACTTTCCGTATTTGGAATGGTGTAAATTATATTTTTGTGTACTGCAAGGCGAGTGGTGAAATGCAGGCTAAACATTCAACAGAATAAACAAAATTTGTAACTTTGAAAAAGCTCAGAAAACTAGACGAAGCTGATCAGTTGCACTTAAATTTTCTTTTCATAATTTGATTCTTCATTTAACGAGAATCTGATTGATTGCTGATTGGTGCAATGAAATCTTGCCTTATTTCCGTCCACTTTCAACACTAGTGTCCAGCCTCCATGTCCACAACCTGGAATATCTGTCATGTGACAATATGCCTCGTATGGTGTCGAGGATGTGTTTAACTGCAGAGTGTAAGCACCATTAGGCGTTGATCTAGATTAAATAATCTCTTTCAATTCAAAGTGCTTTCCAGCAAGAAATACAGACAAGAAAACATATGTCAAACTTAGATGTAAATAAACTCACGGTTCCATCAGAAACAAGTCTTTGCAAGATGAAACTACATTGCATTGTTTTGAAACTAAATTAATAAGGACGAAAAGAAGTAATGCTGCACCCACAAACATTCTTTAAAAATGTGATGATAGTAATTGTCCTCTATGCATTCTTAAGTCTGAATTAGTGAAACTTACCATTGGAATACACCTGATAGGGCTCTGTGCAAGTCTGGAAGAGAACATCAATGAAACATGTAGTTCAGTAATTGTTGCTACAAGTAATGAAAAACTCTTATCAACAATTATGGTTTTTATTATATGTCATCGCTATGTTTTTTTCAAAACTTCCCATATCGTTCAATTTGAAATGCCTCCTTTCGATTCTATTCCTTAAGTTAATCTAATTGGTTTTCAGCGTAGATGGGGCAGCTGATAATTATGAACCAGTTTTTATGGATCTAAACGTTTTAACTCTCTTTGTCCATAAATGCACGTTTTAGTCATAATGCATCCAACATCGCTATGGTTTTAGCGTTTGTGATTATTTAAAATAGTTGACAGTTCATATAACTTACCCTAGTTCTATTAGGATTTGTCAATTCGTAATAATCGAAGTCTTTGTCATGATGAAAATCTGCTGCAGGCAACTCTGATGCAATATCGTAAAGGAATTCACAATTTGTTTTCGAATCTGAGCATTTCTTGAAATTGGTAGATCTGCACGCCTTATTGTCACGGGCACAAAAGTAAATGCACTCTACTCCCGTTTCTGCGTGGACTTTTTCTATCACTTCGCTGTTCAAACGACGACCTTTAGAAACAAAAAATGGAAAAGGATGGGCATGCATTTTCATTAGTGTAAAAGTTGCGTTTGTATATTTTACACTGTGTCAGACCGTCAGCTGACATGTTAACCTTTAGGAGGAACTAACACACTAAACTCAGAAAAAAACAAATTTGTGTCTACCGAAATTCGACAAATTTCAGTATACTATAATTTGACTTGCGCCGAATGCATTTAAAAAGAAATGACAAAAATTAATTGGCTGTTTATGTATGATCCCAGTTACCAGTTAAATATACGAAGCGTGAGATGATTTTGAGGTGCTGAAATAAGTCTTTAAAACCAAAAAAGCACATGCATGCTATTGTGAGGATGACTGCCAGGATTATGTTCTTCACTCATTTCATCCTCGAAGACATAGGCTTGGTTTATTCTCCGCTAAGCTGGATCATGTAAACTGCCAAAGATGTTTCATTAATTTTTCATGTTTGTCTCAGCCCATTTTTCGCGAATTTGGATCTCTTTCCGGCTTGACCTATTTTGGCGTTAAGAGTTCTTAAATGAAAGCAAAATATGATCGAAGAAGATTTCTTCCAGGCATTCGCAGTTGGAGAAGTTGTTCTGTCACTATCACATTTTGACAACATTCTCTGCGCGTTTAAGAAACGCAACTGTTAGGGATCGCTCTGGATAACGTTTTAAAATGTTTGAGGATTTTAAAATCCTTACAAAATTTGCTTTCGTAGTCAATTATTTCAAAAACTGACTGAATATTCCCGGACCTTTTGAGCCGAATTGCGTTCAACACAGTGAATTTCGTTTTGCCATTTACTTGAAGGCTGTTTAGCTTGCAGCCATTCAACACTCACAGACAGCTGCATTACACTTTGTATTCGAACGCAAAAGTTACAAGAATACCCGATAATTTTCAAGATTCTTACCTTCGTTTGGTCCGTAAAAGCAAAAATCAAAACCATTACCAAAGGGTTGAAGATTAAAGATTATCAATAACAAAGGAAAGACTTTGAGATTCAGCAAACGTCTCGGTTGCATAATCAAGGACAGTGCTATATTCACTGGGTGTTTTGGTTGGGCTGGCATGTTGGTATATGTTGGTATTGTTAGTCCACACCTTGTATCTTAAATTGAATTGGTATATACACTATTTAACTCCAACAGGAAGAACTTGTTGTAGCTATATTGCGTCTAATACTTCTCTGATAAACGCGCTCTTGTCAATGGGCAGTGGCGTAGCCAGCCCGACGATTTAGTCATGCTATGCAAATTTGATGTCATTATCATTATTCATTAGTTGAGAACTCATTGTTTTCACAGTCAATGAACACCAAAATATTAGCATAGCATGACTAAATTGTCGGGCTGGCTACGCCACTGTCATTGGGACGCATTCACCTGTGTATGCTTAAAGGTCAATTAAGTCGCCCGATCTATATTTATCATTGCAAATCATCATTACGTTCGACTAAGAAGAACGCGTTGCGATTGACGCTTCCTTATCGTGACGTCACAGCTGTATGGATGCTATGTCATTTTGAGATTTTTGGATGTTCTAATTTCCCGTGTCCTAATTCGACGTGCTTTCCGCGCGTGTCTTTCATGCATGTACGAATTTGCCGCATACCTGCTGTATTTCGTGCTGTTGGGCACAAGGAAATTATCCATAATTTGTTCAGCTGGATGTTTGCAACAAATTTACGCATATGAATAATCATCAGCTCTTTCATTACTACGAAAAAACCGCGAAGATATTCCTTATAAAGATCCTGTGCCCGAATATAGTGAAATTTTTATTTCTTCGTGTTAATTTGGTTAATATTTGCAATCTAAAATCTCCAGTTTATAGAATATATACAAATTTATCTGTGCGATAGGTCGCGACAATATTGTACTCGCAACTCAGTATTAATTTATTGACTTCGCAGTCAAAAGTAAGTAAGTACCTTTATCAGATACAACTCTAGCTGTTAATTTAAATTCAGCCATCAGAAAACTCGCGGAACTTAAGGGCCAAGTTGTGCTTCGTGCACGCCGCGATTTTGCCTTGTGCTACGCCTAAAATTATTGGCATGCACTAAGAAAATAATTGGCATTTACAGAAAGCTCAATTGCTGGCATTTGGTGAAGCAAAAATTAAGCGTATTTTTCAACACGTACCTTCATTTGGTCCTTGAAAGCAAAAATCGAAACCATAATTTAAAGGTTGTAGATTTGAAAATAATAACAAAAAAAGACTGACTTTGACGAATACACGCAGCAAACGTCTTGGTTCCATAATCACTGTCTGTTTGTGTTGGATAAGCGACATGCTTGCTGTCTGACGAAACCCTTTATCTGGAATGAAACTTTGCGGCTTCTCATCCGCTTTAAAATTTTATTCACAACCAATTCAACTTGAACAGAAGGACCTATTTGGACACTATTCTGGGTGTCACTGCCTGTCTGAAAACAATTAAGAATGCTGTCTCTCTATTGGCCACGCCACGCTTTATTTTTTCAAATTATTCTTATGCATTTGGCGCCAAAAACACAATTTATCATCTACTATAGCATCACGGGACGAGAACTGCGGGGTTCGATAATCAAACGGCCGATATCCAGAAGGTGCAAAAAATCAACGAATTCAGCCCTGGTATTCTGTATTAAAACTTGTATTATTGAATTCAGTAATAGGATACTTTGCCTACATATGAATTAAGGCAATGTTACACGGTGCAATTTTTCTTGCAACTTGCAATGCAATTCTACTTTTAAGAGATGTAAATTAGTGAAGAGCCTTCAAAATGTTAGTGTAAGAAGCGCCATGGAGTGTAAAAACGATTAAAGTTCGGTAGTTGCCAAATTTACATCTCTTAAAAGAAGAATTGCATGGCAAGTTGCACGAAAAATTGCACCGTGTAACATGGCCTTTATCTTGAACAATTTGAATCTTTAGGTTTTATTTTTTGTCATGGGTAACAAGCGACAGCAAATTCAAGCTTTATTTAAATATTGATATTCGTTTCCTTTTCAGAAATGAATTGTTTTTATTGTCGATAAGCACTTAAATATTAGCATAGCAAGACTCAATCGTCAGGCTGGCGTCGCCATTATAGCTCATTATAGACGTTTGTTATAAACAGTTTGCATAAAAGCACACAGAGAAAATTAATTCGCGCCACGGCAAAGTTCTGCTTAGTGAAAAGAAATTCTTTCACCAGGAGAAATTTCTCAATTAAACAATTTTTTACTCGATTTTCCTTACAATATTGATCCACACAAATTTCACTCCACGCGCAAAATATCGCTATAGATGAAAACTTTTATTGCATTACTACTTTATATGTGCAAATACTAATTTACATGACGTGTATAATACATATTATAGGGCTTTTAGCTTTGTCTATAGGTTCAAAGGTTATACAATAAGCTAAGGTGCATGCGTGCTATCAAATGTTATTTCTTAAAGTTATCCAACACAAACTCCTATTTCAGTGATAATATTTTCCAATGCCTTAATTTACATACTAAACATTTATTAAGCCTTATATATCAATCTAATGTCCTCTGCTTAATGCATTATTTGCAATGGACGAGTTCTTTTCATTGCACCAATATGTATCCAAATGCTGGAATATTTTTGACTAGCCCACACACTGCAGCATTACCACAGGCGAGATCGACTTTTTTTCCACAACCAACGTATCTTACACCAAAACCAATCCAAGAGTCAGGGCTGTCACAGTCGTCTTCGTTGTTAGCAATGAATCCAAGCCGCGCGCCGATGCCTTTCTGATATTTTCCTCCGATATCGTGTACATTGAAAACCTGAAGGTTGCAATTTTTTTGCAATACAGAGCCTGCGATCAAGGACATCCATGTATTTCTTCCAGCGCTTGTATTTCGATATTGCCCATCTGCGATCAAACTGTACAGCGAACTTGCTTCATAATTCAACGTCATCCATCTTCTGTCGCCATTAACGGTCATACCAAGACATATTTTCTTGAAAGGAGTGTTCCAATAAGAGGCCAGTTTACTTTCTTTCTCTGTTAATCCTTCAAGTCCATCTTCAACTGCATAACTTTCATTGTTTGTCCACAAAGATGCATCTTAGTAGAACGTTGTCTAAGAAAATAGTAATTGTTTGTCAG